AAAAACTCTTAACTTAAACTATGTCACAAACATATCTGTATTCACTTTTGTAACACAAAATATACAAAGTAACAAGAATAACATAATATTTTAACAATGTACCTGAATTTATTCAAATAATAAAGCATGATCGGTATTTGAATCTCACTTTTAAACTTAAAGCTGAAATAAAATCAGTGTAACTAGTAATGGTCCGCATGAAAATTAAGGGTTTTAATAGTGGGGGAAAAAAGTCTGAATATCTGTGGGCTATAATGCATGGTTTTTCTTCAAGAACTAGAGGTCGTGTGTATAATGTGAGGGGTCCAACATGAATTTTATAAAAAAAAACATAAAAGCTCATTTGGCCATATTGCATTATCTTATCAAATTGGAGGTTGCGCATGCAATGGAATAAGGTCCAGGTGAAAATAAAGTTTGTTTGACGTTTTACAGAAATTAGAAAGTTATTAATAAAAATCTGAAACCTCTTTCCAGTTACATACACTTTTGAGGGAAAAAAAATTCAGATGTGGTGCAGATTCAGAGTGCATTATTTGTTCTGATCCGAACTATGTATTTATATTCGTTTACATCCTTAGTATTAACGTAGGTCAGATTTTCATGGCTGTGATGATACAGCTTTCAGAATCAGGGTTATTGCCAAATAAGTTTACACTTACGAGGAATTTTGCCTTTGTGCATTGGTACATAGGAATCACAATCAAGCTAGAAAAATATAAATTAAGATAAAAAGATGAAAAATAGAATATGTACAAAATGGCCAGATACTTGAATAAAAGAGTAAAGAGCCGTACAGAAATGTGCATACAAATTGAGTGAGAAGTCTGCAAGTTAGCAGTGTGACATATAATGACATCTGCAATGTGTAAGATGAAAAACACCACCAGAAGTGCATCAATGCATTAATTAACTGTATTAATGTTTCCTTTTATGAATGACATAGGTGTGTTTTTGTCAGCTCTGTAAATGTTTTACATTCTCTTCAAATGAAAACAGGATAAATGCACTTGTTTGCATGGAATGTATTATACAACTTTAAAAGTCATTAGTTAAACAAACCATGACCAACCACTGAAATATAATTCAAGGCACAAACAAAGAATTCTATCCCTATCACCCACAAACACCAACACACACGCACACACACACACACACACACACACACACACACACACACACACACACACACACACACACGTATACACAAACCCACTTGAGGACAGCACTTCCTTTTTTACCTCCATTGCCACAAGCTAAATTCCTCAATTCATTAGAGGAGAAAAACACACAGTCCAACACTCTCATACATTCATCTGGCAAATGTGGCCTGAGGAATAATGATTTACTGTGGCTCATATTTCACCTGAGTGCACAGGGCAAACAGTTGACTGAAGTGTTGTGGAGAAAATGCTAACTGAGGCATTTTTGACTGGAGCAACTGGACAGATACTGTTTTGTGCTGTTTGTGTGAATGTTTTTGTATGTTTGGGTAAATACGATATACATAATATTTATATACAGTATGTTGAAAAAATACATAAGCCATTTGAAGTTCACCATACACGATTCTTTTCCGACGCCTTGTATGCACAGATATTGCGGATCTCCAGTTTGCCATTAAGGATAAAGTTATATTTTTATAGTGAATAATCGTGTTTTCCAGCTAACCCCTATGGCTGAACAATATGGACGGTGTGTTCACACAGTGGACCCCTTTCTCTCTGTGCAGGAGTAAAGTCAGCACAGGTGGGGCCAGCATCAAATCAGTCTCAGCTGCCGCCCTGCCCTGCCCTGTGTTCTCCTCCTAAAGAGCTTCCACTTATCTGCCTGCCACAGGACTGTCTGTGAGCCCCCGACCACTGTCATGTAGACACCATTCTTAAATTGATTCTGACAGTGCAAGAGCCCCGATTTTTCTGCTTCAGAATCCAAGCTGCCTTTTCAACGCTAGTGTACAATGCTAAGCTTTTTTCTTATTTTTATATATTTTTTTAGCAAATTCCAAGAGAATGAATACAGCTTGTGTTCCAATTTAGTAACTACATATTTTCCTTCAGTTTGAGTAAATGCTTGAGCATTTTTTTTCCTCTCCCAACGGGGGGCCGGGAAACTGGCACTCAGCAGGGAAACTTAAACAGCTCTGTTGAGTATGAGGCTCAGAGACCCTGCACAGAGCAAGCATGCAACAGAGAGCAACCTTATCTGCCATAGGACACTGTGTCCTATATTTGTATACATTTGACACAATCTATGCGTGTATATATACATACATACACACATATATACAGTACAATAATGTCATTACACGCGTCCTGTAAATTGTGATAAATGGGAACTTTGCATATTTTTTTAAGAGATAAATCTCATTGAGGTATATAATTATAAATGTCAAGTCTAAGTATCCATGTCTAAAAATCTTTTTTCTTTCTCTAGCTCTTTCTCTCTGTCTCCTTCTTGCACTCCTCCTTCCACCTTGCCTCTTATTATCTGCTACTTTCTGTGGTTTGGAGCCTTTCCAGACGGCCTCCCTTTCTTGCTCTGTGGTTTTGTTCAGCAGATTTCATCTCCCTCCTCATCGTTCCTGCAGATTGACAGCTAAGCTCAGGTATGAAAACAAACAGTTAGCTCTGGAATTGACTGGTGAAAAGAAATCCGCCACTAATGCTCCTTCACAAACTCTCCTTTTTGCCTGCCCCTGCTGAGGCTAAGCCCTAACGGCACACAAGAAAAGGCAGATGGAGATTTAAAATCATTAACCCTTAATATCACCATTCTACATGTCTGGCTTAAGCACACCGCCTCTACTGGATTATTGTGCTTATTTCTTCTTACTCTAAAACCAAAAAAAATGTCTTTCCCTCAGAAACAGAACATTATGTAGCCAAACACCCACATGTCAATAAGCTATAATTAGAGATGTGTCATCTGTATGAGATAAATGGTAGGTTGGGTTAGCAGACCTTGAAAAGCAGATCTCTGATGTTGTTGATACAATTGTTTTGCTTTGTTTGTTTATTGTACGTGCGTGTTCACCTCAACAGGATAAAGTACTCGGGGCATGTTTGAACACAACTACAGTAAAAGAATGTCTTTCTTTTCACGGGTAAAGGCTCGGGTCAAATTCTGTCACACCAATTGTTTTTCATTTTTGTTTTTTGAGAAATTATTTCCTCACCAGTCAGATTGCACCACTTGCCTCTGCAATAACACAATTACTCGTCTTTCAAGGTTTTGAGATTTTGGAACAATGTCAAAAGGTAGCCTACGAGGTGCTCTGTAAATTGGTTTGCAATCAGCATAGAATATACAAGGCCACTCTGCCGGTAGGTGCTGTAGTCTTTATCTGCATGTCAACCCTTAGTCTCTTTCTTTCTTTCATTCATTTAAAACCTACAGGCATGTTTTCCTTTTGTACTGATTTTAACCTAACAATTAATGGAACCTCTGATTCATCATAACACTTTAGATCTTAATCATAAGGTGTTTTCTGCTTGGTACCTTTGTTTGTGTTTTAATTAGGCAGACCTTGTGCGTCTCCAACCCTGGGCTTCTTTTTAATTGCCCGTATTTACATCAGGCAGACTTCAAACGCAGAGAGAGAGAGAGAGAGAGAGAGAGAGAGACATTTGTAAGGGGGAGCACAAAGCAGCCCTTTGAAATGTCTACAGTCATACGAAATGGCATGCTAATTAAAAATCTAAGGCTGCCACTGTGATAGGAGAAGCATTTATATTGGTAACTGTGGTGTATAGACTGTCTCCATAACTCATCAACAGACAGAGGCCATAGTGTTTATTATCAGACTCCCTACCTGTTTACAGACCACCAAGTAACCTTCCCATTCCCATTCATCAAACAGAAGAAATGCCCTGCCTGTAATTTAACAGACCAGCTTTCAAAAGGCTAAATCATTTTAAACATTTTACCCAGTGCACTTTGATCTACTGTGGCATACAGTATACCAGGGCAGGTACAATGAATCTAGTTTACCAAGCAATGATTTATCCTTCAGTTCATTAAGGTTATTGCCAATGAATATACTTATTAGAACATTCAACAGCCTTTTTTCCATTTCCTCTGCAAGTGTAATTCAATAATTAAAACCAAACACTAGTTTTATTTATGTACGTCACACATGTTTTATAAAAAGAAAAAATTAAGCAAATTATCAAAATCACCTGCACAGCAGTGAAGTGAGCCTTTATAGGTTTGTGAATAGTCTTCATGTTCAGGTTTCCAAGAAATAAAAACAAGACACAAGAAGCTGTCTAATGAAGGTAATCACTTAAAGAGTGTAGGAGCCAGTGACAGCTTGGTGTTATCAGCCAGCTGGTATTGTGCTTTCTTGCACTGTATAAACACACCAGCTCTCAGTAACAGTCAGTGCTAAGGACTGCGCAGCAGCCCTGCCCATCTTAGGCCCACCTTCACCCTGTCATAAACACAGATTTTGGGGGAGTGCTGAGTTGCGCTTTGCCGTCCTGCACTTAATACGCTGCGCAGGGCGTTCACTGTCAGAGTCAAGACATTCCACTCAAACGCAGGCTCACTGAGGAGACGACTCTGTGCGTCTCAGCACCATCTCCTCTCCTAACGGCTTCTCTCCTCTCAGCTCGGCCATGCTCTGTTTACATCAAGCACACTTTTGGTTCAACAATTACCAGAGCAGCATGGATGTACTGCGTGTGCCAGAGCAGAGTAGCAAGGCTCATGGCCGTCTGAAGGGACAACAACAATAAACCGCTGACAGGCACACAGGGAGCCTCAGAATAAGTCTAAATGGGCTGGAATTTTGAAGACAGCACTTTGGAAGGAGTCAGGCATTCCAACAAAAGATAAGAGGAGAGAAATGAATGAGGAGGGCAGCCAAAGGCCTTTGTTTTATTTCAGAGTACAAGGCTGTTTCTGAGATTATACAGTACATAGATAATGTATGTCTGATAGGAATGAGGGACATGGCTTAAAAGTGATGTTTGTGTGATAGTGTATAGTCCTACCTTTCACTTCTGCCAGAAGTTCACTGGTGTTGAGTCTCTCCATCTTTTCTTTCCAGTCTTTAGAGAGAAGTTTCTCCATGCATGAGGATTCTTAAAAAGAAAAAGAAAAAAAATAAATAGTAAGTCATTTGAAAGACAACATTAGTCCCTCGTTTAGGTGTAATATTTTTCCTTTTTAGGATTATTGGATATTGTGTATAGAATACACACTTTGTGGATGGTATAAATTTCTAAATCTATTCACTTAAATGAAAAACGAAAGAAAGTCAGTGTACCAGATAAAAGAGGGTTATTTTATTTGATGGTATTGCGCAGCAAGCATTAAAAAAGACTCAGTCTGCCAGTAGAGGGATGAGCAAAGGGTGGAGTGAGGAGGGAAGCAGGCATTGTGGGGATAGAATAAGGGCAGAGACGCACATTAAGTGGGAAGGAAGGAGTGAGACTGGGTACATCCGAGCGTTCACATGGCTGCCAATGATGAAAACAATTAACATTTGTCCAGCAGACAATGAATCAGAGGAGGAATGGCTGCAATCTGCCATGCTGTCGCTGCGGTAGCTGATAAAGAACACACTGGGCCGGCTGACCCAGGCCTCCACCATCCTTACACTGCTTAGGGGTCAGCCTGTTCCCATCAAACACCAGCAGCAAAAGCAGCCCACCACCTTGAGCCACTGTCTCCACAGACTGCCTCCAATCTGAACTAGATGAAGACATGCAGTGTATAGTCCTGTTGATTTTGATTGAACAAGCAGCAATTCTGTGTAATCCAGCTCTGGAACCACAATTATATAATACTCAATTTGATTAATATAAATTGGTTGTGCTGATTTCTATAGGAATTGTTGTCACGTTACATATAGTGCCTGAAGATGATATAATTTGTAAAACTGTATTTCTCTAGATTTTGAGCAAAATGTAAAACCAAAGCAGACAAACTAATTATGACCACAAAGCCCCCGGACACCATAATGACTAGTCCAACCACATATCATTTATGATCATAGGCAACAAAAGGGCACAATTCATAAGCATGTTAATGATTCAAATGATGCCACAGAGGAGTTTTTCTCAGCTTGATGTAGCTGTCATGTGTTTGTTTTCCAAGTTGCACATAATGTTTAACACAGAGAAATGGAGAATGACTGAGAAGTGCCGGTCACATGCAATATTTTAGACTCTTTCAGTTTCACCATCATCATCCTTGACATCAAACAAAGAAGAGATTTATACAGTTTACAACATTTACATGTGTTGTTTAATTTTATCTGTCTGTAACATCTCTTTCCCTTTGCTTCCACAAACCAAACACCGTTGCTTGTTCTAACAAACACACTGACTTCAGAGGAACTGGGAGTAACAAGGAGTCAATAGTTCCACTGTGGCCTTGTTTAAGGACGGCTTTCAGAGAGATCAAGCAGAGTGACCATTTTGTTTGATTGTCCACTTCCTCCAATGTGATGGGGGTCGACAGGACATCTTCAGTTCTGGGTCATTATAACATTACTTCTGCTTTATTGACTTTCCAATTCCCAACTCACAGTTTGTCCCCTTGACCCTAAAAGAGGGAGAAAAAAAAGGCTGTGTGTGTTGTGTGTGTTTGTGTCCATAACTCCCTCCGTGGCACAAAGATCACAGATCTTAAAACAGGGGTTAAGCGCAGGGGGGAGTAGCAGAGCTCAGCTCTTCTTCCTTGCACCTCACCCCTGAGTGAGACAGCTTCCTCTCCCGGAACAACAAACTCCCCTGAAATCATAATCTTCTGACAAACAGAGCAACATCAGTGCATGACATTTTCTCCCCTAAAGCACAGAAAAGGCTTATTTTTAAAGTGGTGTAAAGGGGAATTAAACAAACGCAGTGAACATATGTTAATATGCACACATATGCTTCCTCACACACATGCGCACACACACACATACGTACATCCGCACACTTTCATCACAGATGCTGCTCTAGCACTTGATCATTAAGGAATGCACCAACTGTTGGAGATAATGTGGTGCCAGCTTCCATTCTACTCCAGTCCTCCCCCTCCTTTCCACCTCCCTCCCAGGAGGGCTGCCGCTCCCTCACTTCTCCATCCCCTCCGCTGGGCCAGACACAACCTGCCAAGTCCTCCAACAGGAAAGACTACAGCTGGAATGCACCGCTGTCCTCCCTGCCTTCCACCTGGGAGAGGTGAATAATGACCTGGATTAGTCTATAAAATAACTCTCAAACATCTTTCAGTGTTCGAACGGCGTGGACAAAACAGGCAACCAAAAATGGATTTGGTGAAAGCAGACCAACTTTTGCGCAGGCGTGCTCGAGGAAACAGTAAATGAGTCAGATGTCTGGCTTTTTTCAAAGCGCCCTTCTACAGCCTATTTTTCAGAAGAATTTAGATTAATAGGAGGAATGCTATTTCAGTTTCTAAAATGTCTGTCTGTTTTTTCTGGAGAAATTATAGATGCCAATGGAAACACTGGTTAGCATCAACATAATAATTACTGTCAGGTTATGACACAGAGAATGTCAAAATTGATACACACTGTATTCACCATAAAATAACAAATTATTTCTGATAAAAGATTCACACTTCACTGATTTGCAAGTGAAAAGGAAACATAATTATTTAAGACAGTTGCTGCAGAACCTCTGAAGTTTTTACTGTAAAGAGGAGTTTTCTGCTCTTGTCCTTTCAAAGTAGGACATCACATACTGGGGAATTAGCTAAAACAAGAGAAGAGTCCAGTGAGTTTATTTTTATTTTCCTATGGGGGCTCTTAAATCTCTCGCACCCCCACCCCTTCCATTTCTTTCCCTCCCCCTCTCGAGATAAAATGCTCTGTGGCTGGGGAGCAAGCCATTCAGCTGGGATGAGAATGGAATGAAAACAATAGCCCTTATCAGGCTCTTATTTACATTTTCCCAGCGTCCCTGCAGTAGACAGCTTGGCTTGTCACCAAGCCCAGATCACCCCACTGGACCCAGACCAACTTCCTCCAGCCCCAGCGATTCCAATGGTCCCTATGGACCCTTGCCTGGCAGAGACCCCCTCCACTCTGCAGCTAGCACAGATAGCAACATACAAGACAAAACTACTGGAGTGTGTGTCCAAGATGTGTTCCCATTGAGAGAGGAATGGTTTCTGGACTACTAAGCCCGTCTGGGTCTCATTGTCTCTTCTCTGGGGCTGGTGCTGTATAGCTGGAAAAATGCCCTGAATCCTTTCCCGAGATTTTTTGAGAGTTTCCAAGTGGCACTCAGAAGAAAGCGAAAAGTCATCACTGATTTAATTCTGCCAGATTCAATATGTTTGTCTCCTATCAGTGCTGTCATCTCTAGTATACAGCTTGTGCAGGTATTCTGTGATCTTATTGATGTGGGTGAACCGGCGCAGGGATTGAGACACCTAAAGCCGAGATGAGTTGGCTAGATTAGGCTACAGCTTTATTTTACTGTATTAAAAACAAAGCTAATGATCCTCATAAATCTCAACAAAGGAATGTTTCTAGGTTGAAGTGTGACATAAACAAAGCTTTCAGCACCTGGCAGTCAATGCTGCCAGAATATCATGTTCAGTATAAACCACAGTAGTGAAGCGGGGAGGCAGGTTACCACTATCTGTCCTGACACCGACTGACTCCCTGACAGTCCCGAGAGAAAATTTCTTTCCCTCTCATATTTCATACAGTTATTACTATCTGGTGTTTTAATGTAACAACTAATAATCTGAATTTATTTTTTTATTGTTCACACTAAGTAAGACAAAACACTTTTATTAAATTGAGTGCTAGTTAGCTATAAATGCCTGTGGTTTAGAGGCGAAGGTAAAGGAAAGTTGTTTGCTAATTTATGTGTTTATTGCTCCTCTAAACAGATTCAAACGATCATTGCAAACTGTAGAACAGCTCAAATCACTGACTGGAACACAAAATAGACAAATAAACACAGCTTCAAACAAATCAAATCTTGTCACTTTGGAATTGGATTGGACAGTAATAAAGTAGATCTTAAAAATTCATGACACACTAATTTTTATATAGCCCTCCAGATTGGAATGGAGATGTGAAGTCCAGTGTGTATATTAAAGTTAGCAAATATACCAGCACTGTTTGGGCCAAAATTTTGTTCATTTTTACATATCAATGTTTTCAATGTCTAAAAGGTTTCATCTACTAAATTTGTTGATGCAACCAAACATGCCATCATGTTTTAAAGACAGTGACTCAAAGCACAGAAATGGGTTGTTACAACATGCAGCAATTGGTATTTTATTACCCTGTGTTGTCAGCAATGAAATCGTTTCAACTGTCTGCCACCACATTCTGAGCTTCTCTGTGTGCACTATTCTCCCGGGAGAAAGATGATACTTGTGTTTGAGTGTTTGTTGTGTTGAAAAGCAGTTGGCAGAGAAAAGGGGGCTATCTAGGAGAGTCAAATTAGCCATTAGTCATGGATAACAGACTAAGAGACCTCCCCTTTAGCATTGGCCTTGTATATCAGTTGTCGCAGCCTCAAGGGGAAACATGTAATTACCAAATCAATGATCAACTGACACTGACCATATAAATAATTTCCTCCCCAGAATGCAGAGGCCCGTACAGTGAGGCACATAGGGAAACAATGCTATTTGCAGCGAGGAGGAGCCGAGGCACACAGGAAATGGGGTTTAGAGTCTCTAAACAAGCTTCAGCTTGAATGGAACACATTTTTTACAATTTGTCATGATCCAGTTATAGTCAACCAAAACCAAAACCTCCACAGAACACTAAACTTGGCATTAGGAAGATCTAAGAACTGCAATAACAAAACCTCAAGAAAACACCATTTAAAAGAAAAGAGTGAGTCTAAGCAACAAAATAAAATTATTTTGCTTGTTGCAATTTCAACAAATAGACTAGCTGCTCAAAATACAGAAAAATCTGTGTTAAACTACATATGAAAAAAACAAAAAAAATAAATTGTAAAAAACCTGACCTACCAGTAACCACCATGTCCTTGAACAAGCTTCTTTACCATTCATTCTACACTGTAGATCAATAAGTTTATGAAAATGCTTACGTTTGCTCCAGCAAAACAAGCCACACATGTGGAAATATTAC